AAAGTTTATGCAAATGAACAAGAAATCTGTATGTAATATACAACTCTCTTCATGGGCTATGATTTCTATTGTGTTTTGCCTTATGAATATTAATGAGTTTTATAACAAACAGATATAAACTTTTCATCAATTTTCCCCTTGGTTTTCTTAGTGCAAATTTGAGATCTCAGTTGTCASCTAATAATAATTGAGAATGAGTATCGTTGAATTTCGTTTTCTAAAATTACCAACTTTCCTATCAATCTTGAAGTACTTCTTTAGACAAGGTAACTTACCTTGTATTCYAYTCTGTGTGTAAAACAAGACCAAAACAAGAACACACCAACCAAACAGCACATGTAACCTCATTTTAACAACTKCAGGTATTACTGTAGAGATACAGTCCACAGTTAACAAATGAGACTCTCTTCCCGTTATCATCTAACTTGCTTTCAGCTGGTTTCAAAGCCTGAATGACTTGAYGTAATCGATGAGCAGGCTGAGTGGTGATTGGCCATTTATTTTTAGGAAGTGCTCGACTTCCTTCTCTGTGGTGTTTCGATCTCCCTTTATTCTCGGACCCAGTCCTTTTTTACATGTGGATACAAATACAACAACACTACATCCCTCCCCCTTTACAATAACAGAAGGCAAGATGGGATTTACACGAGAGTATGACTAATATAAACTGTTWCAATCTAGATGCAGAGCTTTGAAAGCKGGAACAGTTATTCATAGCAGTCCATTCCTAACTATACTTGTATCGTTTATAATCAACTAAGAGACAATCAGTCCTCTGTAATCAGTGACACGCATAATCGTTGAGGTATCCTGGTGGYCTCCTCGAGTTACGCATAGGGTAGCGCCGYTGARGTGMTTGTCCTGCAGTTGGCGGATCTTCCTCCATTGCTGTAGGGAATTCTATCTGTTCAGGATCCTCGTCATCAATATATGCCTCTTGTTTGACAGCATAAGGCTCAACCTTTTTGTAGAACGACGAATTCCTGGTGATTACTTTGTCATCTCTCTCGGCTGTGATCATAGAACCCTTGCGTCGGCTGACTGTATATGGTTTAGGATCATAGGGTGTTGCTGATTTCTTGTGAGACGGGTCTCTTCGGACTACTACAGTATCTCCCTCAGATAAGTCGCTTGGCTTGACATATCGTTTGTTGTCTGCATATTGTTTCATCTTTTGCTTTGCAGCGTTGTCTTTGTTTCGGAAAGCTGCGTCTTCGATGTGGTTTGGGATGATTTCAGGTAGTTTAGTGCGTAATGGTCGGCCGAACAGAGCTGTTGCCGGTGGTACGCCTGTTGATGTGTGTGGTGTCGCTCTGTAGTTCCTTAGCAGGTCGCACAATTCTTCTTTCCATGGGCGGTGATCTACCTTTGCAGCTTCGATGGTTTTCTTGACTGTTCGCATGAATCGTTCCACCTCTCCGTTGGCTCTCGGCCATAGCGGGGTGACCTTTCGATGCTTAAATCCCAAGGTTTTCGCAAAGTGTGTAAAGTCTTGGCCGTTAAATGGAGGTCCGTTGTCTGAACGCAAGACTTCAGGTATCCCGAATTCAGCAAACATTTTATTGAGTCGAGGTTCGACGACTCGAAATGATACGGTCTGTATCACGTCTACTAGGGGGTATCTTGTGTAGTCATCGGTGACGACAAGCAGGTATCCTCCAGTCGATAGCTCCTTAA